TTCCTCCCTCTGCAAACCTGGAGCCATAAAAAAAATGCCAAAAATCTTCTGTCACAACTGACTCTTAAATTGCCTTGAGGCAGGGCTGGATTGTTACTTAGAGATGACAGCAACCCTCCAACTCAGAAGAACTGTGCACAATTGGGCCTAAAAAGGACCAATGTTATGAGTACCCCCCAAAATTAGAAAAAGTAAGGGTAGAGGAGATTTGTTTTCTCAAATATTGAGCTGCAAATGTCAGCAAGGGGCTGCCCTTCCAGGTTGCTGCTGATTGAACCATTGCTTCTGCTTGCTGTGGAAGATCAGGCTTGACTTGGGCTCTGGGCATTTTCCACAACCTGTGGCCATGTGCATCTGTCTTCAAATTTATTTTCTTTCGTTGTTTGCAAGGTGTCTGCAGCACTGTGCTGTATGTGCTTTCAGCTCATCCTGCTTGTGCAAATCAAAGCTTAAGGCTCTCTGTGTTTGGGAGATACTGCAAAGAAAACATCTGCAGAGAATGTTGGCTGTGTATTTTTTTTTCTTTTTTTATAAAGGAAAATATAACTGACTTTGTTTTTGTTTTGCTTTTAAATAGGCCTCAGAGTTAGGTCAGACATTAAATGAAAATGTTCTCAAACCTGCACAGGAAAAGGTAACTTTGGAACTAGTAAATTACTTGCAGAACATGATTATGATGCCTTGGGGAATTATTATTTCCTCCCATCATAACTGTCCAGTTTGTCAATGCGTCCTTCTGTTTTTATATGCTAGCCCAATAGCAGAGGGGAAATATCCAATAATTTAGGGTTAATATAAAAGCAAGGAAATGTTAATGGGACATATTTTCCCCTACCAATCTCTCCCACACCTGCAAGAGTTTTACCTGTCACACTCATTCTCCATTAGATATTTTTCATAGATATCGTTATGCAGGAATGGAAAAGTGGGAAAAATGAAAATACATCTTAAATAGATAAAGAAATCACTCATAAACAAACATTTTTATTAGCAACATCTTTGAGCATCCCATTCAGAATGTTCTCCCTTGTGCCTGCCAGCACCCTTTTAATTCAGCTCAGCCTCTTGGAGCCCCAGTAGATCGTCTGCTGCCATGTGAGGAGCAGTAGAACTTGGAGCAATAGTATATGAGATGAACAGGGACAGTTTATTAACAAATAATATGTTCATGTAACCATTTTTAGTATTCTTTTAAAAATCTTACGGTAATACCTTAATATTAAGGTTTTCATGCAGTCATAAGCAAAGTATGTTCTGAAGCAGCATGCTGATTAGTCATTCTAATTGCTATATTGTTTCTGAGAAACCGAAATAGTCCAAAAGAGGGTTTTTTAATCTTCCTTTTAGAATTGTTAATGACTACAAACGTGTAGCTAATAGCACTTTCAACACCCCTGCATGGAAAGCACAGGTTATATTAATAGACAGATTAGTGGATAGATGCTGTTTGGGGGCATGTAAGAAAGCAAAACGGTCAGTCCTCCTCTGCCACTAATTGTGCCTGATTTTACTGATTTTTAGTCAAAGAGTCTCCATCTTTGCAATCACTTTGGGATATGGATTAATTTTCAATTAGAAAACTGTGGTTTAAGCATATCAGAAAATAATTTCATTTGCATTACGTTTTTTTTTTAATTCAGCTTTCTTTACATAGCATATGAAATCACAGGAGAAAGGTCTTAATTAGTTTCCTATTCCCTAGGATTATCCACAGTTTATTTTAGAGCATTTAGATATTTTTTTTTGTCAGAGTGTATAAAAGATAAGAAGATAGATTGGGTAAGTTTTTTATTTTGCTGTTTTTTAACCTCACCAAACACTTGTTGAATATTTTTGAATAGATTTTTGAAATATATTCTTTATAAAAGTCAAGTTTGCAGAATTCTTAAAGATTGTGTCTTTGATTTTAATGCTTAGTGCTAAATAATGATGCCTTCCACAAGCACTCTATTTCAGTAGAAAATTCCTGTGAACATCAAAGTACTGAGATACACCCCCATTAGAGATTAATGGGCTATACAGATTTTGTTTTAACTTTGTTAGTTTGGATGAAATATATTTTGCTTCACTCTCTTCTTGTTTTTAGCTTTTACCATAAGTAAGCTTAAGGTGTCAAAATACTTCGTTCCGTGATTATTTACTAATGCTTTGATTCATGTAGGTGAAAGAGGGGAAAATTTTTGAGGAGGTCACCGTGGGGGTATCACAGTTGGCCAGCAAGGTATGGAGCGGCCTCCTTGCCTTTGAGGAGGCCAAATACCAAGCCAGTCTCCATATTCTTCTCTGTGTCCTTAGTGAAAGGAAACCCCAAAGCAGCTTCAGTCTCTGCTTTTGCTGATTTCAGTTAACTTTGGACAATATATTTTGCAATGTGCAGGGCTTGTGTTGAGGTCCTGAAAACCCTATACAGATATGATGTGATTTTCTGCAATGTCTGCACTGAGGGCATTATGTAAGAGAGTCTGTGTCCCAAAAATGGGGTTAACATCTGCTAGAGAATATGGAGACAGCTTGTGTTCATATGTACCCTTAAACCTACTAATGTTTTGCACCTTTTTCCTTTGTTCTTTGCTGTCATTGCTTGGTAATGTGGTAAGTGCTCTCTGCAATTGCTAAGTACAGAGTACTGCAGAATAAATGCCTAGTTTGATAACTTCTTCGGTATTACATAGGGTCTGCCTTTCTAGCACAGTGAAAGCCAACACTAGAGGCCATATCAGGTACCAGCTTAGAGTCTTAAATGTTGGGAATATTTGAATAAAGTTATTATTATTATTATTATTGCTTAAAGTTTGCAGACTTTTAAGTCTGAGTTCTGGGACCCATCTGTAGTATCTCTGACTTAGAATAGTGACTTCTATTAATGTCATTTCAGAATTCTTGTTTCCAATACAATCCCAATACAACATCTCCCCAGAAGGATTCCTCTAGCAGTCGTATTTATTCTAGAACTCCACTTTTGGTCTATTCCACCGAAATAAAACTAGTGAAAATGGGTGGAAACAGTTTGGAAGACAGCAGAAGTATAGACACTAATCACGGACATCGTGATACTTCTTGGTAACATCAAAGCACCAATACTAGACCAGACAAGATCTAGACAAGCCTCATAATTTGGGCTTTTGATTTTAGTGCAAGGTAGCTTTCAAATGAGTGATAGGATGCTTAGTGTATGGAACAGGAGCTTATTTGGTTTCTGAGTGCTTGTTACTTCTGTTCTGAAGTGGAGCATCAAACTGAAACAGTTCTGAAAAGTTAGACATTGGCTTCTGTTTCTGCTGACTGTCCCACCTCGTGCATAGTAGCTGGGAAATGCTGTGGTTCTGAGTTACTAACGTTTCTGCAGTATGCAGTTTATGTAAGGAGTAATTTCAGCATTTTTGTCAAGAAAGTTTAGGACCAGATTCAAAGCAGTTAACTCAGTTGTAGGGGAAACAGCCCCGTGACCTACTTCTCCCATCTTCCAGCAGTGTGATGCTCTCAAAAGTATTTTCTTTACATCAATCTTGTAACTCCTGATCAAAAATACTAATACCTGGTGAGTTAATTTTTTTTTTCAGTGAAATATGTTATCTTAATTTCAGGAAGGGGAGGGATGTGTTTTGTCTTTTTGCTGTTCAGACTGTTAGAGCAGATGTTGGTTCTATCCAGATGAGCAGAGTGTCCTTCT